CCTGGCTGCTGGTGCCAAGAGTGTTGACCGTGGAGCCGAGCAAACTGAAGCTGTGAACAATCTCAATCTCTTTGCCATCCATCCTGATGCTACCAATTGGTCCAGTGGTGAGAATCTTTGTCTTCTTACCATACTTAAATTACCTACAGTGAGGTCATATTGCTACTTTATGGAATTAATTCAGTGGTATTCAACAACAGGAAATGACTGTAGAAATCTTCATTATTGTTGTTATCTAATGTCTAGTTGGTATTGACCCATAGCTGACCTGCTAGCAGGTTTTCAGATGCAGTTTAATTGCTGGGGAGGAGATTGCCCATTCTTCTCCTGCATAGTAGCTGGTGGATTTGAATTGCATACCTTTGGGACTGCAGTACAGCTCCATATGATAAGGGCACCAGAGCTACCACATGTTGTTTTGGAAGTTTAAAACAAACCTTTTTATTTGGAGATAATTAAAATTTACCTACAGTTATAAAAAATAATACAGAAAGACCCTGAATCCCTTTTACTTAGTAGCAGCAATCAGCTCACGTGTGTCAGAAATTATGAGTATGGTGCAGAACAGGGTTGCTCTGAGTCCTGTTCAGCTTGATGGCACATAACAAGCATGTCCCAGCAGTAACATTTTGCCTAACTAGAAGACAATATTACACTCAATTGACATTTAGATTTCACACACACACTCATTTGTATACATGTGTGTGTGTATTCTATGTAATTATATCAACTGTATAGATGTATGCATCCACCACACAGTCAAGACACATGAGAGTTCCAGCACCACAAGGACCCCATCTTTCACTTTTATAATTCCACTCACCTCCCCTCTGCCCTCCCAATTCCCTCCTAATTTTTCACTTAAAGAATGTTACATAAATGGAATAAAAAAGTATGTAGCCTCTTGAGACTGAAATTTTTCAGTCAGAATACATCTCTGGAGAGTCACTCAAATTTATTGCTGAGCCATGTTCCATGGTTTTGCCACATGGTAGGACATCTGGGCTGGCTTCTGTTTTTGATTTTTACAAATAAATCTATGATGGAAATTTGAGTACAAGTTTTAAATGAACATGAAGTACCACTTCTCTGAGATAAATGTGGGAGGGACTTTTAAAATGCCTATCAAGATATTTTAGTCCTCTTCCTCCCCATCTAATTGCTGTCAAGTTGGAACCAACTCACACTGGACCTTTACAGGGTTTCTGCACCTGTAAATTACATAGGAGGAGATTGCTCATCTTTCTACCAAGGAGCAGCTGATGGATTTGACCTGCCAGAGAAGCAGGCCTTTGGGTTATCAGTGCAACTCCTTACAGACCATGTCATCAGAGCTCCCCATGATGGTCCTAGTGTAATCTATTTCCTTGTCTTTGTCTTTATATGCTTAATTGATGTGTGTGATTTCTGTTATCTTTGATACCTATTTAGAGCATATTTTTCTTTCCCTTTCCAAGATTTCTACTTAATGGCAAAAGTTGCAAAGGAGAAGTAAGAGAGCTTATAGTGGGTATGGATTCTCTCTTTTGCTTTGTTGTAATTATGATTTAGACTTCTAATTTAGGATTACATGGAGAATTGTATAAACCTTTGAACTTGCCATGATGAATCTAAGAGTTCAAGAAATAAACAAAGGACATGTTTACTTTCAGACTTACAAGGCAGTCAGATCAGAACAAACCAAACATACGGAACACATGACAAATTTGAAAGAAAAAAACAAAGCGGAGTTACATCCACTTCAAGGTAAAGTTTATTTCTCTATTACTGTATTTCTTGAGATAATAATTTCCATCATCTTGGTCTAACAATGCAAACTGTTTGCTTTTTAAAAGTTTTTATTATACTAGTTTATTTACAAAATTTGAATACATTGTTTTCAGACCAGATTCTTCCAATTTCCTTCACAACCCTTTGCTTTTCGTGTCTTTATTAACTCAGTCCGGAATAGCTCTGAGTAGTTCATTCAGAAAGAAAAAGTACAACCAAAAGGCAGTGAATCTATGCATTGTGGATGAGCGAGTTTTTATGCTATTTTTTGGAATGAAGGCTTTTGATGAATGAAAAAAGTTTTTCATTTATACTGCTGACCAATGGCTTTGACTTCTTTGTGTGATCACATTCTTTTCCTCCTTAATCAGGCTTCCATTTTTACAAGCATAATATTAGCATCTGTCCCTCTCAACAGCTTAAATACTAGAGATTTCCTTCACAAAATAATCTCAGAACTATTATTTTTGGTTGTAGTTAAGATTGCCCACGTGTTATTTTCTCAAGTACACATGATAGTAGAATCAGTCATATGTATTGAGTCCCTTAGTTGATCTAGTTGATAATAAAATGGTGACCCCGGGGTAGAAAAGTTACATTTTCACTCTACAGTATAATATTCTTTACTCTTCTCCATCTTAATATAATGCCCCTATTATTAAATACAATAGTCTTTGTTCAGGGGCAGAGATATTAGTTCCATACCTTTTCAGTCTATATATAAAATAGGCCATTTGGGAGGCTGGACTTTGTAAAGAAGAATGTGGCATCAAGATTGGAGGAAGATTCATCAAGAACTTGTGTTATGCAGATGACACAACCCAAAGATTTAGTCCCATAAGGTGTTTCACTATGCCTAAGAGGCTTTCATAACTTACACCCTTGATTGGGCCACAATATACGTGGATCTATTTATAATATATACAGATGCATATGTAGAAATATCTTCTGCCAAGCCAATGTATGGATGTGGATGTATTCCTTTTCATATCCCTATACCTCTTCAGCTTGCATGTCTACCTGCAGTTGTTTTTGTTAGTACTGATACTGCAGGATTTCATAAATATTATTGAATTGGTCAATAACAATAAAATATGGCTATTATATGGCACTTGACTTTTTTTCTATTTGTGTGTGTGTGTGTGTGTGTGTCATTTTATTTATTTATTTTTAAACAGCATTCCGTTTATTACAAATATTTAGTATTGGCTTCTCGTATTTCCCCCCTTTTTTATCATATTACGTATCATCTAGATGAGCATCCTTTATATACAAACAAACAAATTTAACATAAACTCAAAGAAATACTTTCAAAAATTTCCATATGATCAGAAGGATTCAGGTTGAATATTCCTCGAAAGTCTGTTTTAGTTGTCCCATTGCCACAGTGCTTGTCAAAACCAGTTCTGATTAATCTCCTTTGTCAGTGTGTCCTTTGCCATTCCCTATCACTCCTCCCTGAGAGAGACTTCACCCTGAGTCATAAGGAAAAGGGGACGGCGTATTCTCTTAGATACTTCCTGCTGAAAAGGGACGCTGTAGGTTTCAGAGTGAAGATCTTGTCTCACTACTCTAAAAGGGCCCCTTTGGCAATAGGAAACACATAGACTATTGTGGAGATAGATTTTGGAATTTAGATGCACTGTTATCAGTTGTGCTTAGCCATACATATTCATATCCTTGAAGATTCATCATAGAACTGTTGCAGCCTAGAAGACACAAATTTAACTAATAAGTTAAAAGTACATGAGTCAAAAATTAAAAGCAATAGTATTCCAAATAGAGGTTCTAACAGTGGCACAAATCAAGTTACAGAGGGAAGGTAGTTCTTAAAAGAAAAGGCTTATTGACTAGCACTTTGTCTATTATAGTATAAAGGTTAGGAACCACAAGATGTAGAGGCTCAACTATGTCATTTATTGTTCTTAAGTCCTGGACCAAATTCCATCTACCACTGGGTTATTTTACAGCTCGGAAGTCCACATGCAAGGCAGAGGTGAAGTACATTTGACTGGTTTTAAACTCCTTTTCATACACATTATTTTAATTAGCCTTGAAACAGGACTGTGAAATAGATATTGTCAATCTCTCTGTTTTCACAGATGACAGAACTTAGGTTTAGGGAAGGAAAGCAATTCCTCAGAGTCACAGAAGTAGCAAAATGGCTACTTATCCATGCTACCTCACATGACAAATTGGCTATTTATGTTCATGTTCTTTGTCTTGAATAGTTAATACATGTAAATGATAACAATTTTTTAAAAAACTGATTAAGTTTAAAGCGGTTTACAGAAAAGCAGATCCCCAATACTCTCCCCAGTGTCTTTGAATTATCCTGAATAGTCTTTTGAAATATAACTAGTTAGATATATAATATAATATATAGATATAATATAGATATATAACTAGTTCATATCCTTTTTGTTCAAGGACATATAACATCATGCTCTATGATATGTGTTGTTCTTTACCTTGTTTTCAGTTAACAATCTACCTTGAAGGTCATTAGGTGTCAGTACAAATAGATTGACTGTATTTTTTGAATAGTTGTTCAGTAACCCATTGTATTGTGTGCTCTTTAAACTAATTCTTTGTGTGCTGGCAAAATCCTCCAGGTGAAGAAGAGAACCCTGTGAAAGCAGAGGAACCAACAACTGAAGCCTCTGAAGTAGCTACAGTGGAAGCTGAGAGAGCAAATGCAGAAGTCCCTGAAGGATCTGTAGCAGAAGCAGAGGTCGTCGGCACTGGAGAGATTCCAGACTCAACAGATGTGGTCGTAAAAGAGGATTCAGCCTGTCCAGAAGGTATGGACACTGCGCCAGTGGGGATCGCAGCAGCTGTTACTGAAACTTGGCAAGAGGGCACAGATGCACCCATGGAAGAAACCACAGAAGTGGATGCTGAAACAAACCCAGAGGTTACAAAGGCAGCTCTGTATGAAGCTGCTGTCAGTAATGGTGCTAAAGATGTAACAGAGAAGGAAAGTTCTGATGAACATGCTCAACTAGAAGAAAATGCCACAATTGAGTTTGAATCCTCCGCTGAAAATGTTTTTCAGGAAGAAGATGATGTTGGTTCTGAGGCTGCCTCAGCTCAAGGCTAATTTATCTAACGCTGATAGATTAACAAAGCATGCTGTAGTGTCTGACAGGCACTCTCGTACTTTTAGTAATCTTAGTTTTTACCAGGGCTCTTTTACCTAGAAATCTTAGTATGCTTTGAGGATTTTTTCTATCAACTGATAGATTATAAGATAGAGATTTTGGATCTTACATGTTTTAAGAATTTTATATTCTACTATGAGAATATAAAGTTGCAGTAATTTTTTTTATTCTAGGCATTGATCTATCTATGTAAACTCTATTTACTTTACTTTCGCTATATCTTTACCTTACTTCATTATTTGTAGTTCTGGATTATTGAATTTTGATTTGAATGCATTTAAATAAAAATGTGAAAATCTTTAGTGCTTCAACTTTTACTCATTAATATTTATAAAAGTGTTTTTCACAGTTATTGTGAATACATATGTAAATGACATGAACAAATTAAACATTCACAATATTACTGTTATTATGTGAAGTTAGAACCAACACACACCTGACCCTCCAGTGAGTTTTCTGAAGCAGAAGAGGAAGAGATGCCCCTCACAAGAAGAAGATTACCCATATTTCTCCCTTGGAAGAGCTGGTGGATTTGAAACATAAGACTTAAAGTTAGCAGCACAGCTCATTACCAGAGTTCCCTCAATATCACTGAGAAAAACATACTCTGTGACAAACTCTGTTCATAACAATATATATGGCCTTTCTCCTGTTTATATTATATGGTAGACTGTTCAGATATTTTCACTTTCAGTTCAAATAACATTTAATAAAGACTTTGCACTTAGAGAAATTCACTCATTCATATGCTTCAGAGAGCTGGACAATGACCAAAGATGACAAAAGAAGAATTGATGCCTTCAAATTGTGGTGCTGGAGAAGAGGCTTGAACATACCATGGACTGCCAAGAAAACAAATCTGTCTGTCTTGGAGAGGGTAAAACCAACTGTATTCTTGGAGGCTAGGATTTTGAAGCTCCGCCTCACTTACTTTGGGCATGTGCCCAGGAGAGATCTGTCTTTGGAGAAAGACATCATACTCAGAAGGGTGGAGGGACAGCACAGGAAAGGAAGACCTGGATGAGATGGATTGAAACAGTAACTGGGCAATGGGGGTTGGTGTGTCAGAATTGGCTGGACAATGGATAAGAGCACACAACAATAACAACAACAACAGCATATTATAATGGTTGTTTTTTTTTATTTAAGCCTCTTGTTTAGAGTCAACAAGACCTCATGGAGGGCTTTTGTATTTAAAAGTTGGTTGTTACTACATTTTGGAGCAACATTCTTCTAAGTGGTACAGCACTCTTCTGTCAATGTGCTGTACTGATGTAGCTTGGGGTTGCTGGGATGCTGAACCTTGCGCCACCTTGGGGTGTCAAATGCCATTACAGTTACCCATGGTAGACAGTGTTTGGTGGAGCTCCCAGTTTGAGACAGGTTTGGAAGCAGGAGTGGCATCCACTTCCTATACAGCATGAATGATGATAGTTATAGAAAGGCTTCAGTTCTTTTGCTCAAAGGGTCTCTATGAGTCCTGCTCAACTCAGTGGCAATCAACAACAACAACAACAGTGCCATGAAGTCTTCTAAGCCCAGCTTCTATTTCTGGTAATTCTCTTTCAATGTACTGTTCCAGTTGTTTCTGGATAATCTTCAGCAGTATTTTGCTAGTGTGTGATATTAGTGATGTTATTGTTGTTATGTGTTGTTGAGTTGCCTGTGACTCATAGCGACCTTATGTACAACAGCCCTAAACCCT